TCATACCACTCTGGAATGGGGTACCACTAAGGTTCCCTAATTCAAAGAATTGGATAACCTCATAGGTACCCAAAAATGGGTGACTGAAGTGCTATGGACTGAACCTTTAAACACTATATACTCATTCCTGATCAAGGACACTAAAAAAACCTATGGATATCGGACAAGTGGCCCACACATGACCTGTAGAGTACCCGTACCCACGACCCCATGGGTTTACCTGTCAAAACGAGCTGAAGAACATCGAAATCGGTTAAGAACTGAGAGAGTTCTGCCTGAGTTCAACTGGTCATTACAAAGTTTTGTAGTCTAGAATTTCAGACATCAAAGTATTCCATGGGTTGTCTGGCCCCTGTCAAAATTACATCTGAAATTTCGGACATTGGTGCACTCTACAGGGATTAATACATCTGAATGGAAATGACCCACAAAATTTCGGACTTCAGAGCATTCCGCAGGGGGTTGTCTGGTCCATGTTAAAATTACATCTGAAATTTCAGACATTGGAGCATTCCATGGGGGCTGTCTGGTCCATGTCAACATTACATCTGAAATTTCGGACATTGGTGCACTAATACAAATCCAGATGTTTTTTTGGCCACATTTTCGGAGCAGTGATGTTCACCAAGTTAATCACAAATCCAGACATTTTTTGGGCCGCATTTTCAGGGCAATGACATTCAGCATGTTAAATACAAATCCGGATGTTCACATACGCAGAGCTCTAGCTGGTGGCCTGTGGGTGTAACGGACCAATGGGCTTAACAAATGGTGTGGCCCATGGGTACCACAGAAGACCTGTTAGCCTGTGGATCCAACAGAGCAACAAGTCATCTGCTGCAGGTGTAACACAATTGTTCATCTGTGGGTGTGACAGAACAATTGTTGGTCTGTGGGTGTGATGGAACAATCATTAGTCTGTGGGAGTGACAGACCAACAGGCTTGACAAATGGCATAGCCCGTGGGTACCACAGAAGACCTGTTGGCCCATGGGTCCAATGGAGCAACAAGTCATCCGCTGCAGGTGTAACACAATTGTTCATCCGCAGCTGTGACAGAAAATTTGTTGGTCCGCAGGTGTGATGGAACAATCGTTAGTCTGT